TCCCAGGGTCGATTCCGGTCAAGGATATGTACCTCGGTTGCAGGCTCCAACCCCGGCCCTGGTCAGGACACGTGCAGGAGGCAACCAATGGATGTATGTGTGTCTCTCTCTGTCTCTCCCCTTCCCTTCCACTGTCTCTAAAAATCAATGGAAAAATATCCTCAGGTGAGGATGAACATAAAAATAAAAGGGAGGAGCTCATGGGGAAAGGAGAGGGGATTAAGACTAAATGGACACGGTAATGTTAGATTTTGTTTTAACTTATTTAAAAATATTTTCAATACTATTGTAAAATATAAAGAAGATATATTACACAGTTTACATACCTGCTTTCTTGTTTATCTCTAGAGCATTTCTATCATCTTGATTTTATCTCTGAGAAGCTAGAGACAGCCCCTCTCTCTGTTTCTGTCTCTTACTGTCTTACACACGCACGCACACATATACATGCACACAAACACACGACATTTATATTTGTAAACCCAGATCTTACGGTTTTTGCTCGGATGAAATTAATTCTTTTTAAGTTTTATTTTTCAAAAAGGGCCAAAAGAGAGTGGTAAGCACTTTTGCACACAGGATTTGTGATAAACAGGATTTTCAAAGTGGAAAAGTTGAGAGTAGAATATATTCCAATGAACACAAGTGCAGTATGATACAGTACAACAAATACTTCCCACTCCCTAGTGGGGAATGTAAACACTGTCCAGTATGAGGTAGAACCAACGTTTCAAAAGCCTGGCAGAAGAAAATTTGGAGTTCTAAAGAGCCGTACGTTAAGGAGACCACAGTTATTATTGAAGCAAGTATTCTGGTGTGATATATAAAATGTGGCAGCTAGAAGTGCCTTGCAAAGTGCTGATCGTAGGTAGAGTAAGTATCAGAGAAATGCTTCCAGTGTGTGACACAGCTGAGATGGGGAGAGGCAGAAACTGCCCAGAAAACAGAAAAAATAACAACAGGATTCGGGAGTGGCAGCGATGCGACAGGAAGAAAGCCTTGGAATTAGAACAACTACCCTTGAAAAAAGGAGGAGCATGTTGTCTTTCCTCATTTAAAAAAATCTTAATATTCAAAATAGGCAATTTCAGTTCCCAGCTCTCCCTTCTCCTCTGATACCCACGCCCGGTGCGCAGCTCAGCTGGCGGTGGGAGCCCTTGATGCCGGGCTGCCTGCGGGGCCAGGTGCTGCTCATTGAGAACCTGGCCTCGGCCTCGCTCTGAGCACAGTGATCAGGACGGCACCCAGGTGGATGGGCTGCAGAGCGCCTGGGGCTCGGGCTGGGTTGGCTTCAGGTGTAACTAGTTCGGGCATCAGGAGAACGCCAAGAACGAGCGATGCCTCAGACCTGGTGGCGGGTTCAAGCCCACCCTCACACTCTTGGAGAAGTGCAGGGTGAAGAAGGACAGCGCGCAGGCTCACCCTCCCTTCGTCTTCCTGCGGGATGCTCTGCCCACACCCACTGCGCTCCTAAAGGACCCAAGTTCATCACCTAGTCTCAGGTAGGCCCTTATGATGTCGCCTGGAACTTCCAGAAGTTCCTGGTGGTCCTGTGCGCAGGTACAGCCGCTACTTTCCGACCATTGACGTGGAAACCCTGCTGACCAAGGGGCTCAGCAGTGCGGGCACCCCACCTCCCTACCCCAGTCATAGCTGGGGTCATAGCTTGGCAGTCATAGCGCTGCCCTGTGGGGGTTTTAACCATGAAGGTGTTTGCGCTAAACCTGCATGGAGGAATGCCTGATGTCCAGCTGAATCCCCCCCACATGGACCCTGGTCCTGTCCATCCCAGCCTTCCCCTCCTACACTATGGCTTTTCACAATAAACTGTCTCGTGTCAGGAAAAAAAAAAGGCAATCTCAGTACCTGCAGGCATTTTATAAAGGAATTCATTTAATGGTTCTGCTGGCTTCCTCGTTCATAATGTATCTATTCATTCAGAAAATGTTTATCGAGCACCTATTATGAATGCTGCCTGCATACCCGACACGATGTTAGAAAGAGAATTCCAAGGAAAGTGAGACATGGCTTCTGCCCTCAGCTCAGTCCAGTGGGGACGATGGGCACCTGCACAGATGACTGATTTAGATGCTTAAGGGGGGACAGTTGGAGGTGGCATTTCAGGGTTTTAGCATGGTAGTGAGGTCATCAAAGTTGCAAAGGAGGGAGGCCTGGGAACAGATGGAAGATTTAGTGGTTCGGGGAGGGGGCAGTAGGTGGTATTTATTAAGTGGCAGTGTGGATCTTGGAAGCTAAGAGTTCCACTCTGTGTCCTGGGCCAGATTAGCTTCTCTGAGAAATGCTAATGGGGGCTGTTTGGTGTTGTGCAAAAGCCCTGGCCGTTGCTTGCACTATGGTTCTCTACTAACCTACCATAAATATGTGCCCATACAACAGCAAAAATATCTACCTATTTGAGAATTGTTAAATAAATTACAGACTATGGAGATTGATTAAAGATATTAAGAAACATGGTGCCCAGCCAGTGTGGCTCAGTGGTTGAGCGTCTGTCTATAAATCAGGAGGTCATGGTTCGATTCCACTCAGGGCACATGCCCAGCTGGGGGCTCCATCCCAATGTGTGGCATGCAGGAGGCAGTCAATCAATGATTCACTCTCATCACTGATGCTCCTTTCTCTCCCCCACGCTTCAGCTCTGAAATCAATAAAAATATTTTAAAAATAAGTACTGTTTACTAACACAAATCTCTGAAACAGGAATTAACACGCTGCAAAGGGGAAAGATTCAAGGTAGGATCTCATGTATGTGCATACATGCATATGTACCTCTCAGATAAGCAGCATGGAAGGACAGCAGTGAGAGAGAAGAGAAGGTAGAGAAAGGGAGACGAGACAAGAGAACCTCTCAATTTTTATTCTTTGCTTTTCTATATGGTTCAAATTTTACAACATCCATGGACTTTGTTTTGTAACTTAAATAAGATGAAATAATGCCCACGCAGCCCTGAGCACAGCCTCTGCCATCTGGCCAGCAATAATGACTCTCTTCGATAGCAAGAAAATATGGCTTGCACAAAATGATTTAAATCCGTATATACCATTGTATTAATGGTTACAAATGTTTTCTCTCTCTGATAAAATGGGACGAGGTAAATGTTTTAAATTATGGTCCATAGAGTTTAGTTTCAACAAGTGTTCTGCTTTTTCAGTCATTTAGAATTTAATTATTCAAAGCTAAGTTTGAAACAAGGAGCTTTATAAATCTAGATAACAACAGACTTTACTTGAGCACTAAAAATTTTCCATCAATCATTTTGGTTTTATCTTTATAGTATTAAACTTTAAAAATACTTAACATTCAGACGTCATTGTTGGCTAGCATTGAACAACAAGGACAAATATTTTCTTTTATGAAATTCCATTCCACAATAACCAATCAATAAGTATTCAGTAAATTGAGTTTCAGTTTAATTTCATGGAGTTTTTATTTATAATGAATTTCAAAGACACTGTAAGTAGATCATCTTAATTATATACATTTAGTCATTTTTGTTTTTATGTCAAGTTATGAATAAATTGAATTAAAAATCAAATTGGTTTTTGAAATGTACTGCGAACCTCTGTTAAAATTTTTCAGATGAGTTTCTTTGTAATTAAATGAGTCATTTATAATTTGAGTTAACATTTCACATTTATCTTGAGGGTAAATTGAGCCTTTCAGCGACTGGATTTTCCTAAAGACACTATTGTGTCAAAGACATGATAGAACAAATTTTGATCAAGAATATCAAAACTTCAAAAGCTATTTCTTTTTTGTATGCTGATTGTATTAAAAAGTCTTAAAACCTTTGTTCTTTATTTTTACTAGGTTGACATCTGTCAAAAATATTCTTTTATTTCTTTTTCTTTATTTTTTAATTGAACTTATTGGGCGACATTGGTTAACAAAATTATACAGGTTTAAGGAGACTTGACTTGGGGTGGTAAACACAATACAATATACAGATAATGCATTGTGGAATGTATACTGGAAAAACATTTTTTCTATTAAAAGTAATATAAAATACCTATATTTTCTTATTTTTTAGATCCATATATTTTTTAAGTTTGAATATTCCTAAAATATATTTAATATGAGAGTGTCCTCTACCCCCATTTCTAATCCCAGTGTCCTGAGAAGCTGATTTAAATATATTGTGTCTTAGAATTGATGAACTTGTAGACTTTATATTAAAGTTATAGGGTAAAATTGAGGTATATCTCCAAGTGATCAACTTCTAACAGTCCTTTAGCAAAGTGGGGGTGGGGGGAGGAGAGACAGCAAAAATGAATCATCACAAATACTTGATTCTCTGGTCCATCCAGCTGAGGTAACTGGAGACTCACTGAAAACTCGGTAACATTAGTAGTTCCATAGATTCCTGCCCCCCCTTCTCTCCTAAATTAAGCTTTTTATTTTGAGATAATTATAGATTCACATGTAATTCAGATGTAAGAAATAATACAGGTAGATCCCATGTACCTTTTATTCAGTTTCCCCAATGATAACATTTTGGTAAAACTATAGCATATTATCACAACTAGAACATTGATAGTGACATAATTCATCAAACTTATTTCAATTTTTTTAGTTTGATGTGTGTGTAGTGTTTCAGTGAGTTCTATGTCATTTGATCACATGTGCAGGTACCTGTGTCCACTACCACAGTCAAGACAGACATTTCCATCACCACAGGATCCCTTGTGTTGCCCACTGTAACCACACCCTCCTCCTTCCATGGACTTCTCACAGATTGGATGGCAATATATTTTCTAGCTATTTTGGGGGAAGTAACTGGTTTGTTCTTTCCCCCTTGTGAATGTCTGCAAGTAAATAATACAAAGAAGTGAATGCTGAGTGTCCACTGTTCTTCATTGTGCACCTTCCTGTTGCCTGGCAAACGAACCAACAGCAGGGCAGAGGGCTGCCTCGGGTGGGCAGCATTTCTAACTCTCTGGAGGAACAGAACCAAATCTAACACCCTTTTTTCCACTCCCAGATTACGCTCGATTTGAGGCCAAAATCCATGACCTACGAGAGCAGATGATGAACCACAGCATGAGCTCCGGGTCCGGGTCCCTGCGAACCAATCAGAAACGCTCCCTCTATGTCAGGTAGGCAACCTAGCATTTCTTACTGTGATCTGCACCTTGTGAGCAATCTGGCTTGGCGAGACAAAGGCAATGGATCATGTGTTCTTATTAACCCATGCTCACCAATACACCATTGTAAGGCCTTCAGTTTAACCATTTTTTGAAGAAATTTCTGAAAAGCTATTATGTTAAATTAACAAGTTATTCTTCTAACACATTATTCTCTGACTATGTTATGATACAGAGTAAAGTTCTTGGCATAGGTTGCCGTAAAAATAATGAGAAAAAAACATTTTTAATTTTGATAAATTGAATATGTGGACCAACACTCTGGACATTTGCTCACCTTCAGTATGGGAAGTAAGCATTCTGGAATCATCTCCAGACCTGTGTGGTATCTACTGCATTAACTTTGGTGTATTGATTTGACATCAGACAGTCTTGTATATAGAGTTATGTGTTTGTCCCTAACGAATTTTGGTGGAAAGACTTTCTTCTGTGGCATCTTATTACCAATCATTTCTTAGACCACATAAGTCACTTATTGCTTGCCTGACAAAACTCATTAATTTACCAGAAAAAAAAATTGATGGAACTTGAAATGCCTTCCAGTTTTTCATTCTCTTAGTTCACTCTTGAGTAAGATCCATCCTCACTCAACTATAACATGTGCTTCTTCTTAGCACAAGTCTCCTATATTCCTTTCAAAATATACTTCAATAGTGCTAACTGTATTTTTTAAAATAATAAATGTATTAACAGCCAAAAGGGGAAGGTGGTGCCTAATTCATGGCCCCAATGAATCCAGGTTCCAATGGAAGAACCATGTCTGTCCCTCCTCACTGTATTCTCCTCTTGCCAATCTGCCCCAGAATCTGGTCTGACTCCCACCTAAGATCATAGTCTCCTCAGTTGAAATTTTACTGTCTTTTCCGGGCATGGAGTGTGTGTGTTACAGACACTAAATTATGTGTTTGAATTGATTTTTTTCCTGTTGACTCCACTTTGGCTATAAAGTTATCTCTTGTGTGTACTAGGTAGGCACAGCAGGGCCAAGGAGGGAGCAGGACTCCGGAAGGCGGCAGGTTCTCGAGGGCCTCGAGTTGCTGGCCACTCTGACAAGCATAGAGTCCCTTCTTATCCAGGCAGTTCCAGTACCTCAGAAGCCCTGAGATTTTAAATTTTTTAAAGTCAGAATATTAATGTTCTATATTTGTCCAACTGCATTTTGGAAGATTATTTGATATGCTTCTGTGTAATCTGTGGAAGGAACTATTGAGAACCACCCTAGAACGTGTCTTTTAGTGACATCACAAATATGATGGAAAGTGGCTATCTCTGTTCTCCTCACTTGTGTTTTATTGCTGGTCTTTGTGATACCAAATATTTTTTAAATTTTGAAATGTTTTGGTCTTGGGTAGCAACTTTAAAAAGCCAGTTAGGCTAATGGGTTGGAGATAAATCAGTTAATGGAAATGAAACGATTATATAGAATAAATCTGGAAGGAAAAATTACTGTAGTGTGGGTATCTTGTTAAAAAATAGAATGCACAAAATGTGAATGTACTAGAAGAAATTTTCTGAAAATATTGATGGTAGTTTAGTCCTTTTAATTAAGTTGTAGATTAGGAAAATTAAATGACCTGTTATGATACTACATAGACTTATTTGAAAGAGTAGTGTTAATCAGAATCAACCCTTTATTCTCTAATGTGGTCATTAAAACTGTGACATACAAAAGATCTGAAGACTTCAGGTAATGTTATCTTGTTAACATTCTAATAGTTGGAGGTTGCATTGAAAGGAGAAACTGCTTTTAAATAAAGCTCAAAACTAGTGAACACTTCATGGGAGATTCTCCACGTGATTTCTCTACAATATACAGAAATGGTATTTGGTTTCCGGTGTTCGATTATTAATACGTATTTTGTCTGTAGAGGGCTGACGGCAGCATCTAGATGATTCCTAGGGGCATAGAATTGGAAAAGATACAGGCTATGCATAGAGTGAAAATCAGAGGGAAAAACAGCATCCCCTGGCCTTATTTTCATGTGATGTGACAACAACAGAGTCCCTCACCCCTGACCACCCCAAAACAGGCAATAAAAGTAAAGGAATTAGCAAGGAAGGCCTATGGGGAATTCTTACTAAAAATGATTGGGTAAGTTTGTACCTTTGTTGTTTGGGTTTTGTTTTGTTTTGTTTTTTAAACACCATTTTTGGCTATAGGATTTTTAAAGAGATGCTTGCTTTTTTTCTAGAGTGCTTGCATAGGACTAGTGCCTGTTGGTTATGCTTATTTTATAAAAGCAACTAGTTGCTTTCTCAAAATAAATGAGTAGCAGGGCTTCTCTGATTATATAACTGTCAGATAATGAGCATGTCCCTTTGATCTTCTAATGACATCCTTTATTCCGTTTAGCTGTATGTAATTCTAGAGCTGGAAGGAACCTTAGCTATCGCCAGGTCTAATGCTTAATTTACAGAAGAGGAAACTTGAGGCCCCAGGAAGGAAGAGATTTGCCCAGGACCCCACAGCTATGTGGTGGCAGAGTCAGATCTCCACCCCCCTCTCCCCATGGCTCTCTGCTTCCCAGGGGCTCAGCTGAGGCGGGTGGAGTCAGCTACTGAATGCATCTCTGCTGTGCTTCCCAGTCTGCTCCTGTAAACACTGCACCTGACCCTTAGATTAGGAATAGGTTAGCTGAGAAGAGAAATTCAAACATAATCTCTTTGGGGTTTTTGCAGAGGATAAACTGTGCCACTGGGCCTTTGGGATTCCTTTAGTGTTTTTCATATTTTTCTATGAAGCAAAACCTAAATCGGAAAGCAAGCAGCCTCTTCGTTCAGTTATAAACAATTAAGCTGACTGAACAGATTATCTTCCCCCTTGTAGTGCTCTCTCTCTCTCACACACACACACACACACACACACACACACACACACCTGCCCTGGCTGTGCCCAGGAGGAGGCATCTTCGCAGGATCATGCAGAAACCGGCCTCCTTCTATAGAAATGATCCTCCCAGGTGACAGCAATTTGTTTGGCTGAAAGTGTTGAGCAGGGGAGAGGGCGGTGGGAACTGCCACATCTGAGCCAGGCAGGGTTTTAAACTTGAGCCAACCCTCTCTGTTTTCCAATCTAGTTGTAACTATTTTCCTTCTCTTGATCTTCTGTGTAAGGTGCTTGAAGTGCGTTGGTAGCGCTGTACGCATGGAGTTGCTTGTTGCTAATGATAAGACTGTGCATGTTCTATGCGAATGACTTGGAAACATTCAATTTCATGGGCTATTTATACTGTGTATTTCCTGCATTGTGAAACACCTCTAGTTGTAGAACCTTGAAAGTAAATAAAATGTTAAAAATTTTGAATAAAATATTTTTCAAAATGCTCCACAAGTACATCATCAATTCTTCAGACATAGATGCACGTGGGCTCTGGAGCCACAGGGATACAGCTTTTGTTGTGTGAACTTCAAGGCCCTCCACAAGCCTATTGTCATATGCACTCCCCTCCTTCCCTCCCAGCTGGTAGAAGCATCCCTATAACAGAACAAGGCTTTTCCTGCTGCTGGTAGGAATGGGCCTTTGTATCTAAATGCTACTAAGAACTGTCAGGTATAAGGGGATTAAAATCACATAAAAGTGCAAATTGCTAAGGGAAGATTCTTTCTCCTGATAAGAGAGAGCTCAATAACCTGTGACAAGGGAAGAGAATGGGGAGGGGAAGAAAGAAAAGCAGGTAAGTCTTCCAATGGGGAATAAAAGGTCACAGGAAAGACTGTAAAAGTGAAACTTGGCCCATGTCCATGTCTTAATAAAAGGTATTGATTTGGAGAGTTCAAGTGAATAACCCCTCTGTTGTGAATTTGCTTTTAAAAGGCAGTTGCTATGATTTATTTATGTATTCATCAAGCACTTTTTTGAGTATATATTCTGAGCCAGGACTTACAATGGACACTGAGGACCCAGCATTTAAAGTCGTGTTTCCTGTCGGAAAAAAAAAAATCTCCTCTAGTGAGTGAGACAGATGAGGGGAAGACAGTCACAGTGCAGTGTGATGTGAAAAGCAAGCTCTAGAAAGGCCTGGAATTTTTATTGCTTCCTAATTAATGCAAGGATATCTGAATTGATTCTTTGCAATCTTAGATGAGTTCACCCAGAGACCTTTAAGTGTTTTTACTCAAAGTAAGAAATACATTCTTCATCATCATGACCCAGTAAATACATGTACCATACACATAATGCTAAAAGAAATGTTTTTATTAAACTATTAATACTTTTTATGTACCATGTTCTTTGTTATTTCCCATTCTATTTGCCTCCTTTTTAAACAACAAATGAAGGTCACATCTCATTAACTTGACTTAATAACTCAGGAATGGATCACTATCTACAGTGTGTAGATGAGTGAACAAGGAGGAGTGTTCCAGGCAGATGGCATAACTACCGGGTCATCTTCACTGCAGCACACGTAGCATCTCTGGGGTCCCCAGACCCTTGGTGTTCTAGCCAATTTGAGAGCCAGCTATCCCTGGAACAGATCAGTAAGTGGAAGTGAAGGGTCGCATTCGTTGGGCATTTTCTATGGGTCAACCATTATGCTAGTGTTCTACATATATTTTCCCATCTGCTTCTCCCAACAACTGGAAGAGTCAGGGACTATTTCTTCCATTTTACAGACAAAGAAACTGAGACTCAGTGACATTAAATAATTGCCTTAAAATCACCGAGCTAGATTGGATGTGAGCATAGACATTCAGGTCCTCTGTGTGAGGCAACATAGAGCAGTGTTAAGAACACGTTTCCTGGATTCTGTCACTTACTAGCTCAGTGATTTTGGGCAAGTCGGTCTCTCTGCCTTAGCTTCTTTTTCTGTGAAATGAGAATAATAATAAGATACCATCAAGGGGATGTGAGCATTAAATAAAGTGGTGAATTTAAATAGCTGGCACATGGGAAGCAACGGATATATGTTGGTGCTCTTTATCATTTATTATAAAGGCAACTTTTCCCCTAT